ACCTGGTTCTTAGCCTATACTAAGAGAACCAGGAAACAAACAGACAAAAACAGTCTCTAGGAAACTTCTGCTGTCTTGTACGTAATGGGAATCCTAGAGAAAAGGTTTCTGGATGCACAACTTATCAGAGGCAAGAAATCTGGTTTTTTAGCTGTGCAAAATCAGCACAAGTTTAGACTCATAATTTGAACTGCAAATTGTTTCTCCTTGTGAGTCTTATTACCACTGATTTTAAACTTATTTCTCAGGGAAAGAGGTTGGTTTTTCACCCACCATTCTAAGGCTTTTTGCTGATAGGAAGGGCCTATACATGAACCCACTCTGCCCAGGTACACACACACACACACACACACACACACATATGAACACACACACACTATGCAAACACACAAACACTACACAAAAATGCATACTATACACACATCAAAACATACTAAACACACACATAACATCAAACATCTACCATCACACATACTACACACCATACAAAAGCATAGACAATGCACAAACACACCACACACACCAAACACACACCACACACATAAGCACCCCTCTTACCACACAGCATACAAACATACATGTACCACACAAACATATATCACACACACTAAACACATAGTTACTACATAAATTATACCAAACATGTTATACACACAAACTATCTATACCATAAAAACACACATGGAACACACAAACACACATATCATATACACACCAAAAATATACTTACTAAACTCATAGTACACATATACAAATATACACTCCACACACACCACACACACCATATACATAACATGCAAATACACACACCAAATATCAAATACAATACATACTAAACATACAAATAGCAAAAAACACATACCATATACACACAACACACAAATACACATGTACCAGACAAATGCATATAACATACACACACCAAACACATACACTAAACACACACATAGCACCAAACATCCAATATATACACATGCACACCACACACACACAAAATACCATACAAATACTCATGTACTACACAAACACACATACCATATACATAATAATCATATATACTATACACACATATAACACAAAACATCCACCATACACACTTTATACCACACACACACACACCACATCAACACATACCAAATGCATACACTTACTAGAAAAACACCAAACACCAAATAGTTATTTTTCCCTTTTAAAATGTAATATATGTTTAGCCGGGCATGGTAGCACACACCTTTAATCCCAGCACTCAGGAGGCAGAGGCAGGCAAATCTCTGTGAGTTCAAGGCCAGCCTGGTCTATATAGTGAGTTCCAGGACAGCTGGGGCTACAGGGAGACCCTGTCTCAAAAAGACCAAAAAAAAAAGTAATATATGTTTATGTCCGGAACAATTTGAAGAATGATTAAAGTCTGAATAGAAGAAAATTTAACTCATTCTTATTTTCCCACTGATTTTAAGTATAAATTTGTTTATAGAAAAACAATTTAGAAATTTAGAGAGTAAATAAAGCCTTTCACAGTTCTTCAAAGTTTTTTTAATTTTTACAAAAACTTTATTAAGAATTTAATACATGCATATAAGGTGTTCTGATGAAATCCATGCCCACTATCTCCCCTCCAACATTCCCCCCTCTGAAAAGGTAAACTTATTATTTTTATTTTATGTGCAAGGGTGTATTGCCTGCATGTGTGTGAGTGCACCCATGTCATACATGCAATGCCCATGGAGTCAGAAGAGGGTGATGGATTCCCCTGGAACTGGAGTTATGTATGATTGTTAGCAGCCATGCTGGGAATCGAACCCAGGTTCTCTGAAAGAACAGCCAGTACTCTTAACCCCTGAGCCATCTCTCCAGCCCCTAAAATGTAATAGTTCCAATAGTAAGTCAAGAGCTCCTCAGTAGTGCCTCAAAAAACCACTGTTTTTCATGGTAAGAGCTGCAGCATTCCTTAACCTCATTCATTAGATTTGGAGATTATTTTATTTAATAGGATCCACTATTAGCCAGGCGTTGTTCTGGCTCTAGTAGTAGAAGGCCGCCTGCTCTCTTGAAGGCATTATTTGTTGTGAAGAATAGAAAAAAAAAACTTAAATAAATATCATTATTGCAAACACTGGTGAAAATGAGGCAAATCTGCAAGGAAACGTGGATGGAGGCTACATTTTCCAATCAACTCATCATTCTTTTTAAACGTAAAAAGCAATCAGACACAATCATCCATCTCTCTACCCCGACCCAAAAATTAAACAACTTTTTCTGTCCTTAACAGGCTCTGAACAGGTTTCCTTCCCAATACTGGGGATTGAACATAGGGCCTCATTATAAGCATTACACTGCTGAGCTTTGTGCATCTCCAAGGGGCTGGCTTTCCTCCCAGCATCTCACCTCTTCAAGTAAAAGGTGGGAAACAGAAATGGAAGTTAGACAATTAGGACAACTCAAGGCTGTGTCATTCACCTAAATCCCTGGGGTGGCTAGCTGAGAACAACTTAGTTAATCTAGCTCTAAACACTTTGTTAGTCTCCTGCCTTGTTGCTTAACAACGAGATCATTTCTCTGATGTGTGGACGTTTCTTTAAGTGGCCGCAACTTTTCCTTGTTCACCTTTCAATCACTCATTTTCCCGAATGAGAACATTTTTTTACAGAGATAAATTACAAGTCTATTATTCATGACTCCCATCTTTCTATGTTGAAATTAATACAGTGAGAAATTGCACATCCTGAAGTAAAATAAACATCAATTTAACTGGAGATATTTTTAATCAATCTGAGTGAACTCTAAAAAAGTACATCACAGTTTTGAAGACATCAATGAGAATGTTTAAATTCTAGTTTTACAGAATTTGCATCTGAAATAACTTTTTTAAACCATACTAATCATAAAAACCCTTTAGGTCACTTTCTGTCTCCATCAGATACATCACACCAGTAAGTTCTTATAAATTGCTCAATAGCTTCTTCACGTTAATAGAAATAGCTTTCAGCTCTCCAGATAGTTGTAGGCAAAAGCTGTTTCACTTTCCAAAAGTAGTAAATATAATTATATAAATATATGTAAATTTATATATAAATATATATAAATTGTATTTATATCATGGTAGAGGCAGCTAGTATTGAAGGCATAGTATTCTTACATAGCTTTATTGCAGGATACCTTGTCCACCCAGGTTTCTTTCTTTTGACACTGGGCTGTGATGGCTAATGTTGGTTGTCAACCTGATGCACCTGGGATGAAGAAATCTCAAAGAATTTCCTCCACAAGACTGACCTGTGGGCATGTCTGTGGGATATTTTCTTGATTGTTAAATGAAGTAGGAGGGCCCACCCCACTGTGGGCCATACTATTCCTAGGCAGGGGGGTCTGGGCTGAATAGGAAAGGTAGCTGAATGTGAGGTTCGGAACAAGCCATAAGCAGCATTCCTCCAGGACCTTTGCTTCAGTTTTTGCTTCAAGTTCCTACCTTGAGTTTCCGCCTAGGCTTCCCTCGATGACGGACTGTAGGGTGAAATAAAATCTTTCCTCCCCAAGTTACTTTGGTCAGCATTTTATCACAGCAACAGAAGCAAGCTGGGACACTGTGTCTCATTGTCCCACATTGGCCTTGAATTCATGATCTTCCTGCTGATCACATTTGACTTCAGGGTTTCATGAATACAATTATTTATAAATCTTTTTCCATAGACCAAAGAAGATAAAAGTAGAAATTTAGAATGTGCTTTCATAATATTTCCGAAGCCAAAGGGCATTTGTAATGTGTTTTTCTTTTTCTGATGGGCAAAGGACTATGAATTTAATTTTACAAATACACATTTTTTTTCAGTGATGGATGAGATTAAGGGATTGAAAAGTGGAAATGGGGGCTTCCATGTGACATAGACATACACATTTTCATGACACCAACATGAACAGGTCAAAGGTGGATAAAAGCCAGTATTTGAGCTGGTAGAGGGATTCACACTTGTAATCTCAGCACTCAGGAAGCAAAGACAGGAGATCAAACCATTCTTGGCTACATAGCAAGTCAAAGACCAGCCTAGGTTCTTTGAGACTATCAAAATTGCAAGCAGCCAATGTTTCTACTGTTGATGCATCTCTAAGAAACTCATGCTTCATCTACTCTTTAAAAGGACAGGTGTTTTCAAATGTTTTGCAGAGGCTTTTCTTGTTGTATTTAAGTAAACGTAATTGAATATATCCAAGTGAAGAATCCAGGGAATACATATTCATCTCATTCCCTAACACATGTCACCATGCCAGGGACACCTGGTGTTCATTATATTTAAGACAGAAAAACCATATGATCTAGTTTCTAAAGACAAAAATTAACTCAGGATACGACTTATTGTTATAAATATGTATATATGTTTTCTCCATATGTAGAAATCTGGTTTCAGTAGTATTACCTTACAACAAATATCATTAAAAGAAAAATAATTTTTTTCATATTCATGTTTTAATAAAGTTCACATTTCAAAGTAATACAAATGACGATAACAAATTATTAATAAGGACATTTAAATATTAAATAAGGATTATAAAGTGAACACAGTATATGAATATTTGAAAAAGTCACTAAAAATAATATACAAAAATTATTTCTCACTGGTACTGAGATATTAAATAAGAATCAGAAAAGTGAACACAGTATATGAATATTTGACAAACCACCAAAATTCATATACAAAAAACATTATTTCTCACTGGTACTGAGTTATAATTTGCATTTTAAAATGTTTACTATGGACTGTTAACCATATAAAAATAATATTCCTGGCAAAAATAAAGTGCAATTTTAAATATTCTATTTACAATGTGTGATTGAAAGTCTGTTTGAAAAACTGTGGATTCTCATATACACAAAGGTAAAGTCAGGAAGGCTTCATTCTCCTGCCAGATGCCACTATCATTCCTGGAGATGGTTTTACTCAGGTTCATACCAAACCAAAAGTCGCATTTTTACATTTAATCTTATTCCAGGCACTTTTTCTTCAAATTAGATTTGCATCTTTATAAAATGTCTGTGGGGAAAAGGGGAATAAAGATAATAACAACCTGTTTTTTAACATTCATAAAAAATATACTTTAGTTACATTTCCTATTACTTTTCTGATGAATGAATTCTAAGAAGGCAGGCTGATATGTGAAGGAGAGGATTTTGCAGAAATGAAAAATGATGATCTTCCTATTAAAGTGTTATAATACCAAAACATAATCAAAAATGAATTTGACAGCATATAAATAAAGCACAAAATATTCTTAAAGTTTATTAAACTGGAATATAGTGATTATAATATCTTGTTGAATAATCAAAAACAGACTCTATGACAGAATGTTACAGGAGAAATCACTGAAACTCAAAGATCTACAATTTCACTTTTTTGGTTTTGTTTTGATGTTTTTAGAGAAGGTCTCATGACTAAACTTTACAATTTAAAATAGTCCAAGAAGAAGGTAGTTTGTGCATGATATTTTACCCTTTTTATTTTTGGAGGTTTTGAGTAGCAGATCTAGGACCTCACGCATACTAATACATGCTCTACCATTAAACTATATCCTGAGTCCCATGTTTTAAACTATAATACAGTGTTGTGGGAAAGACTATTCCAGTTATTATGTTGACATAAAGACATTCATATAAGTTTACTCATGTACATAAGGTATATTAGAAACCAAGAAAGAATGTGGATTGAAGTAGGCCATTTTACTAGCCAGATGAATTTTCTCATTTATTCATGCTTTAGAAAGCCAGAAGAGTTGAGACAGACTGAAAGGAGCTGACTCGCCACTGAATACTAAAATGATTTAGCTCATTTTCTTCATGTAACATAAATGAAAATTTTTAATGTAGTGGCTGTAAATATTCTGAATTAACAATGCCAATTATTTCTAGTTTGTAATTTCAGCTTTAAAATAATAAGAATAGCAACAACAGAAACAAAAAAGAGCCAACTCAGTTACCACACGCAATCATAATTTGGGCATTTTGCATGAGAGTGCTATGTTTGGAATTACAAATGTCAACGGACAACACAGGATTGTCTTGGCAAAAATCTATGAGATGAGTCAAGTAAGCCCCTCTGAAATTATTTGACCAGTGTAAAAATGTTCAGGGGCATTTCTAGACTATAGGTCCTCCGTGACTTCCATCCCCACCTTCTCAACCGGAAGAACATGGTTCTTTAAAGGACCTTGTCCGTGGTACTGAAATTCTGACCCCAAAATGTTGACTTTGTACCAACACTGAAAAAGAGCTCAGACTGGGGGGGAGGAGGGAGTATTTTGTTGAATAATCAAAAGCAGACATTTTCACAGACTATTACAGAAGAAATCGCTGAAACTCAAAGATCTACCATTTTACATTTTTGGTAAAATTGCAAAGAATTGCAATGAAATGAATTTCTCCCAAAGTTTCATACAGATTCTACTTTCATGAATCAGTATTATAATTTATATTGAATTTTTACGATTACATAAATATCATATTTATTCCCTTTGGGATCCTAAGATAATTGATCCAGAATAGAATTTCGAGTTTAATATTTCATTTTGTCAGGTAATGGGCTAGCATACGTGATAACTTCATGACTTCATATTCTTTGTATTTTTGTTTGTTTAGTTTTTTGTACAGGGTATAGAGGGTCTAGATATACAAATTGGTCTTGAATTTATTCTTGCCTCAAGTGCTGGAAATATGGGCACACACCACCATGCCCAGCTAATTGTTTTCTTTTTCTTCTACTTCACCACCATCCTATTTTCATGTATTCTGTGTAAATCAAAATGTAAGACCTAGTTTCATTTCCATTATATCTCTGACCACTTAAGAAAAGATAAACCTGTAAATAGTTTTATTCACCTGTGTCTATCTGCACAATAATAAAATGAGACTGAAGACCTGTGAACATTTCTTACATCATTAAGGTCTGTAAGACTGCCAAAGAACTATTTATCTTACTTGATACAATTACTTACAGGACATTTTAAATTACTGCAATAAAACAGTCAGTACATTTAGAACCAAGTTTGAACCAGAGTGAAAAATCCACAGATTAAGATCAGTAGGTGCTGTGCTGCTGTGCTAAGGCCAGTTCCCTGGCTTCTTATACTCTTCAAATTTCTTGATTTTTTTTTATTTTGGGAGGGGGGTTGTTTGTTAGTTTGGTTCAGGGAACAGGGTCTCACTAGGAAATAGCATAGGCCAGCTTCAAGCTCTCCTGGCTTAGCCTCTTGAATGCTGGAATTTGGGAACTACAGGAAAAAGTTTCCTAGGCCAGCCTGGTAGTGTATCTCAGTGATAGACCACTTGCCTAGTATATACAAATCCTTGCATTTGATTCCCACCACCAGAAAGGAGGAGGAAGAAAGAGTGGGCGGATGAGTGGGGAAGATGATAAAGGAAAGGAGGGGAAATAGACTCAGAATAAGAAAAATAAATAAATAAGCAAGCAAACAGATACTCACAAGGTAAGTCTCCTAAGTCTGGGAACACAGAGGACTCACTGCCAATCTTGTCAGCAATCTAGCACATCTCTTGTAATCTATGCAAACCATTTAAAGGTAAATGATACATATAGTTACTATACGTGTTTAATTACTATCTTAATTCATCTAACAGTCACAGTTTTTAAAGCACTTAACATAACAAGTTCTTCAAATGAGTTTTCTCTTTAATTCCTCTGATAATGTAGGAAAACATATCTTCCCTTTAGAGATGAGAAAACAACTCGAAGTAGGACTTATCCCACAGGTACTGAATGATTTAGTTCCAAAGACTGCTCCTTTCTACCACACTACTGCTGTTTGGTGAGTTTTGTGCTTAATTGATGTGCTAGTTTTCCCTAGTCATTAGATGTAAATTATTCTTGAAAAAATATAAAAATCTCAGCCAGTCATGGTGGTGCTTTCCCTTAATCCCAGCACTCAGGAAGCAGAGGCAGACGTATCTCTCTGAGTCCAAGGCCAGCCTGGTCTACATAGTGAGCTCCAGGCCAGCTGGGGCTACAGAGAGACCTTGTCTCAAAAAGACCCCCTCCCAAAAGAAAGAAAGAAAAAAAATCGGACTCAACATCCTGAGTAAAATTAAATATTTCACAAGATGAGCCATCTCGTTGATAGGAAACAAAATTCTTAAAATTCATTTGCTTAAAAGGAAAGTTTAGATTTAGAAAGGAATTTAAAACAGCCAGCTCAGTTACCATACATTACCATAACTTGGGCATTTTAAATGATAGCACTTTAATACTATGTTTGGAATTATTATTAACTCCAGTAACAAATATTCCAGAAAGCTCATTACGCAACCTGAACACATCCTGTCATCATCCAGAAAACTCCAGCACTCACTGTACAAATGACATGATATAAAAAAAACATTTGCTTCAAAATAACTTCAGAGGAAACTGACTTCCACGTCATAGCCATCTCACTTTTTTGTTCATTTATATGAGAAAGTACTTTACTTATGCCAAGGAATTTGAATAATGATAAAAGGTTTTAATCCTGACAAACATTATGGTCTTTAAGGAAATCTGGCTATTTTGAGATTCGGATACATTCCCAACTAGAATGTGATCTCTTGTTCCTTATAGTTTCAACAATACACACAATCTTCAGCACTGTCAGGTTATAAATAGCACTCATGCAATGTTTAGTCTATTATGTCCCACCCGAAGACAGTTGAAGCTTAAAATGATATGCATTTATTGTTGGGTAAGGATTTTTCTAAAAACTTCCCAGGCAACTTACAAGCTGGTGTTGAGCAGTCCCGGGTATTGTAATAGAGTCGATGGAAATGTTTGCTACATTCAGCTGAAAATGTGACAGGCCCTAGAAGAGAGGGAAAGAATGCTTATTATAAACACAGGCATGTTTTCCAAACAAATAGCTAGTGCTTTATGGATGGAGATAATATAACTGTAGTTTACACCCTCTCTGCCCTTAAAAGAACTTGCCTAGCAGTGCCTCCCCTCGCCCAGACTCTGTGGGAGGTACTGAATTTTGATCTGTGAATAACAATCTAAATTCATTCCACATTCTCTGTATCTCAGATCATGGAACCTTCACATCCAATAGAACTCTAGAATAACTGAAAGGGAAACACTCCAGACAGAAGAAAAAGATCTGCGGAGAGCAAATCAAGGGGATGCGAAGAACACAAACCAAGTGACCTCTGTTCCTGCTCTCTGTTCCTCTGATTTTTTTTATTTAATAGGAAGTAATGTTTATATGAAATGACATTTTTTTCTTTTCTTCTAAATGAGAGTGGTGGGTGCACATTGGTGTAAAGAGGGCAGGCCCTTGAGATGCCACTGAAACATTCCCTTCCCTGGAGGAAAGGTTTCTGTGGAGGTGGGAGAAGTAGGAGAGTCCACAGTCAGGCCACCGACACTTAGTGTAACCCCTTTTTATCTCTATTTGATCCTCATAACCATCATTTGAAAGTTAATTAACAACCAGATCCAGTTGTGTAGGTCTGTAAATCTAGTGCTTGAGAGAAAGAGAGACAGACAGACAGACAGACAGGACGATCAGGGGTTTAAGCCTCATTAAATCAGACCTTTGTCTCAAAAACATCAAAACAAATTAATTTCAATAAATTAATTAACAAATATGACTCCCAAATTTGATTAAGTGGAAAAGTCACGTAGGAAAACTACCTTTCCTCAATTACAGGCCTGTGAGGAGCTGAAGACATGACTCAGTGGTTGAGAACACTAGCTGTTCTTCCAGAGAACCCATGTTCACTTCCCAGAACCCGCATGACAGATAAGAACTGTCTGTAGCTCCAATTCCAGGGTATCCAAAGTCCTCTTCTGACAGCTGGGAACACAGTCTAAATTCCTCAGTAATCCTCATCGAAGACTGTTTGTGATCTAGTTCTAGCCTATCCTTCTAGTCCACTGGCCAAATGCATCCCTTCCTAAACTCACCCACAGTCTACCCACACCACCTGCCTGTCCTGCTGCAAATGACACTACAAGCTTTTAAGCCCTGCTCAATGGGGTCCTCTAAACAGACTATCTCTCTCACCCTGAGAATCCTTCAAGCCCACCTTGGACATCATGTTTGCTGCACGTCTTCACAAGAGGTTCCCAGCCAAACCATTCATTTCCTGAGTATTCCTAAAACTTCGTTTATACCTATATTGCTTATCAAGGCTGGGGTACATTATGGTTCATACAAGGTCATAGCATTTGTCTACATACCCAGTAGCCTCTTCTAGACATTTATCTCCACAGTTCCATTATCCAATATTGTATTCTATATGAAATCTTTTTATGTAACTAAATCACTGGAATGCTGCATGCTTACCTGTGAAATGCTTTATGAATTTGTCTTTCAAGTTCAAATCTCTTGGGAATATTTCTGAAAAGGAAAGAAAAAAAAGACTGCAATTTCTAGGATAGAGTTCTACTATTAAATACAATTGCAAGGGTGGGAGAGGTAGACCAGTGATTAAGAGCACTTGCTGTGCTCCCAGCACCCCACAGTGGCTAACGATTCTCAATAACCCTAGTTCCAGGAGAACAAAAACCCTCTTCTGGCCTTAATGGGCACTGCATACATGTGGTACACTTACATACATGCAGGCAGAACACTCATACACATAAATTTTAAAAATTGTATATATATATATATATAATTATAAGCACTAAACACATAAATTCATGGCAGTTTATGTAGCTGATCCCAAATCCTTGATGTTAGCCCTAACCATTCCCTAAGGCTGCACTTTGGCAGCAGCTGTCTGGCCCGCCTTGTTCTCCTTATAATCCTTTTCCCCACAGCAGCCAGAGCAAGTAAGCTGAAATGTTCTTAGGTCACGGGACTCTCCTACTGAAAAGGCTTTAGCTCAAAATGAAATACAATATTTTTTTTGTCTTTTTGAAGCAGGGTCTCCCTGTAGCCCCAGCTGTCCTGGAACTCACTATGTAGACCAGGCTGGCCTTGAACTCACAGAGATCCGCCTGCCTCTGCCTCCCAAGTGCTACAGGCATGCGCCCCACGCCTGGCTGAAATACAATTTAAAGACTCAGACTCCACTGAAAACATGTCATCCAGAAAATGTAATTTATAGAAGCAACTGAGAGTACATACAGCTCATACACTAGAAAAGAGAGCAGTGAGCTTCAGGGTTTCTTTAAAAAAAAAGCACATTTACATTTATTATTTATTTATTTATTATTTATTGTGTGGCAAGGCATGTATATGGAAGTCAGAGGACAACTTGCTGGAGTTGGTTCTTTCCTTCCATGTGGGTCCTAGGGATGGAACTCAGGTCATTAAGCTTGGTGGCAAAAGCCTTTCCCTCCAACCGTGCCAACTGTACATTTAAACTTACAATATTTTTATTCCATACTAACTCCTGTTAACATACTATGATGCAACACGTAAGGCACATTTGTCACTGCCCCTCAGATGAGGCTGAGACATCACACGAATGAGTGCAACTTCATGGAGACTGAGCAGTGCTGAGGGAGCCTCGGAGGAACTCTGACAACCCTTTACAACCTGGAGGTTAATGTGGGCTGTGAGAAGTCCTCTAGCAGAGCACCTACCTACTGGTACTGGCAGCGTATCAGCTCAGCATGATTGTGAGGGAAGGCAGGAGTGCAGAGATCTGAGCCCCCACCCCATGTAACAGCGAACACATGCATTTTATTTTAATTTTTTAAAAGCATATTTTATCACTTTTATTTTATGTGTATGAGTGTATTGCCTGCATGTATGTAAAGGCACCCATGTTGCACAATGCCCGCAGAGGCCAGAAGAAGGTGTCAGATCCTCTGGAACTGGAGTTACAGACAGTTGTTAGCTGCCATGTTGATGCTGGGAGTCAAACCCAGGTCTTCTGCAAGAGTAGTCAGTGCTCTTGACCGCTGAGCCATCTCACCATCCCAACACCTGCATTTTATATACAGTTGAAAACTAATTGTTTAGGACTGGAGAGATGGCTCAGTGAGTGAGGGCACTTTTTGTGCAAGCACAAAGGCCTGAGTTTGAATCCCCAGTACCCATGTAAAAAGGTGGGCATTGTTGCATGAGCCCAGCACTGGGGGACAGAGACAGGCTCACTGGGAACTCACTAGCAGGCCAGCTAGCCTAAGCAAAGAGGCAAGCTTCTGAGTCAGTGAGAGACCCACCTTGAGGGAAGAAGACAAAGAGCAGTAGAGGAAGATGCCCAATGTCATTCTCTGGCTAACATATGCCCACACACCTGCACAATCATGTATGCCCCAAACACACATACACAATACACACTAAAATATAATCTGTATGCTGCAAATTACATATTTTCTAACAAAAATCTGCAAGCTTCTTAGAAGAGCTATAGAATCAGACTTTGGTTTTTATTGGAACGTGGTATGTTCAGAGCAGACTCTGTTCATATTCAATGTCCAGGCTGCTTAGGAGCTACAGAGGCAGAGCTGAGTAGTTGCAAGCACTTTCTCGAACTCTCCAAATAGAGTAATTAGATGCATTTTGCCTTAAGAAATGACAGTATATTGTGTGCCCTTCACATCTGCAGTTCATGCATCTTGGGATTCAGCTACCTACAGTCTGAATATGTTTGGGAGAAAGCTATGTCTATACCACACATGTGCAGACCTTTTCCTTGTCTTTATTCCCTAAACAATATTGTATAGGATTTATGTATACAACCTTTATACTGTATTCTATATTATGAGCAATCTAGAGATAATTTAAAGCATACAGGAGTCAGGTATAGGCTATATGCAAATACCATACCAAGTTATAGAACAGACTTGATTATCTATGGCTCTTGGTATTCACTGAGGACTCTGGAAGCAATCCCCCATGGATACCAGGGGGAAACTGCACTGTGTTTTAGTTTCCCAGGGCTGCCATAACAAAATTCCAGAAATTGGATGCCTTACATCACTAGAAACTTATTGTCTCATAATTCTGGAGGCTAGAAGTCTGAGATCAAGATGTGGGCTGGACAAGATGTCTGTGAAAGCTCAAGGGAAGGCTCTCCCCTAGCTGTTTCCAGTTTCTTGTGGTTCCTAGGAGCCCCTGGCATTCTGTGGCATCAACCAATCTCTCTTTTTGTCAACACACGGAGCCCTCCTGTATCTCTCTGTACGTTCACATGGTCATCATCTTATAAGGATTCGAGTCACAAAGAACTACGGGTCCTGTCTACCACACTATGACTTCATTTTAACTAATCACATATAACTAATCACATATCTATTTCTCAATAAGATCACATACCCCCTGGGTTATAGGGCTAGAACATATCTTTGGACTTTAAATTTATATGGAAATCTGAGTCCTCTAAACAAATAAATTGAAGTTTTATTAGGTGAAAGTCTATTACAATTCCTTTTGAAAGAGACCAGTATTTGTCAAATTGGCCAATGCATGCTGCAAAGACCCATTTGCAAAAGTGCCCCCAAATAAAGTACTTTTACCAACATCATCATTTCATTTTTTGACAGTTTCATACATTTATATCATGTACAACATGTTCTGAAAACACCACTCAGCTCCAGCTTGCTTCCATTACTTAAAAATGCTTTAGGAGCCAGGCATGGTGGCACATACCTTTAATCCCAGCACTTGGGAGGCAGAGGCAGGTGGATCTCTGTGACTTCAAGGCCAGCCTGGTCTACATAATGAGTTCCAGGACAGCTGGGGCAACAGGGAGACACTCTCAAAAAAAAAAATGCTTTAGGAACAGTATTTAAATTGTACTCATTTTCATAAAACTTTTGTCCAACATCAAGAGTGTTATTTTTTACAGGATTAGAGAGATGGCTCAATGGTGACGAGCACTAGCAGATGACGTGGGTTTGGTTCCCAGCACCTACATGGCAGCTCACAACTGTCTGTAACTCCAATTCCAGGGGATCTGACACCCATTTCTGGCCTCCATGGGCACTGCATGACACAGATGTATTTACATACATGGAAGCAAAACACTCATACACATAAAATTAAAAATAATAAAATATGATTTTTAAAAAAGAGTCCTATTTTCTATGAAACATCTTAAAAGATGTTCAACATCACTAATAATCAGGGAAATGCAAATTAAAACCACTTTAAGATTTCACCTTACCCC